GGAGATGTACGTATGCAGAAATGCTCACTTCTTTAGGCCTACCCATGGGTCATTGAGTATTAAAATCTTCTTCTAAATATGAGACTGACAACCCAGGTATTTTCTAATCTATAAAGATAAAAACCCTGACTTCACAAGAAACACATACAGAGGAAACCATTTCTTTTGTTGTTGTTCTAGTCCCGTTATTCAGGTTGACTTTCTCTGTCTTCACCCTAGGTATTTATACTTTAGTATGAATGCTGTCATGATGAGAGACTACAGAAAGCAGAGAGATAAAAGTTCTGTAGCCTCATCCACCCAGGAAGATATAGTCTAAAACCTTGTAAGAGACACTTCTCAACAGCTTGAAAACAGTTTGACATATTGGTAACTTCATGGTATAATGCTCAGGAGTCAGACACATTCCAGCTGTGCCATCCTCTAGCTAGCGGGTTTGGACAAGTTGCTTAACTTCATGAAACCTCATTTCCACATCTGCAAGTTGAACTTATAATAGAATCCAACTAACAGGATTGTTTTGAGAAGGAGATAAGTGAATGCATATAAAATGCTTAAAACAGTGCCTAGCATACAATAAGTGCTCAATGAATACACATGAATATGTAATTTGAGAGTAGAATCTAACTCTTCTTGGGTTCACGAAAATCTCTTTTATGTAAAATTTTTTGTGGGTATGATTCTTTTGGGGAGATTCTTTCTGTTCAGTTCCCAACAGACTCCATGACTTTCAAAATATTTGAATCCCATGAATAAGATGAATATGGAGGCTAAAGAAATGCCAACATCTTCCTCATTGACAAATGTCATCTTCCTTCCTTCAGACAACCCTTTGATACAGTGCTACTGTATAATCTAATAAATCAGTTCGGAGTTTCTCACTTTATGAAAACTGAGCTATCTCTGATTTCACCAAAATAATCCAAATGTGAAAGTGGGCTGTGGAGACACTGGAAGAGGGATTACCAGACAATTCTAGTAGACTGTTCATAGTATGTAAGGTAGATTTCAGAGATGTTTCCTTCTCTAGTGTCTCAAAGAGTGAAGCCTTGCATTTGTTTTATTTAACTGATCTTAGCTAATGTTCAGAGATGAAGTAAATATCCATTTGCTTGCTAATGAGGGTATCTACATGCCTAAAGAAATGTTTGTAATAGCATTCTGGCTTCCCAGTATGACAGGTAGATATGGAATCTAAACCTACTTCTTACCTATATCAACTCTTCCTTTTCCTATTTTAATTGCAAGCCTCAAAGTGGATATTGATATTACCCCTAGTTGGATTGAAGTTGAAGAGGAGTTATGAGCATTGCTGTTGGTATGTATGAGGCTGTTTTTTGACAAATTTGAAAGCATAATTAATATTGTGTTATGACATCATACTTCCTATTGTATTAAGGGCTCACGACATCCTTTTTCTCAAAGGAAGATGCTAGTTCTACTCTGTCAGTATCTACAAAAGGAAAGTAGGGAGAGAACCAAAGAAAATAGAATGTGAGAGCATGGGCCGCCCCAAAGGGGGTATTTTCTTTTACACTTGTGCTCTAACAATACTCAAAAGGAGGACCTCCTACAAATAATTATTTTCCTTTTGCCATTCAGACCTGCCTTGAGAAATTTCAAGGACTCTATTATGAAGAAAGCTTTTAAGAACCATAGAAATCACATTGCTTTTGAAAGTGCTAATGCCTGTGGTGTGCTGTGCTGGCCGAAGCAGCAGGCTTCAGGCTGCTTTATCTCTTATCAGTGGTTTGGCTTTGTGAATGAGAAATTCAGAGGCAACTGTATAATTTTAAATTCCGATTACCACAAAGAAAAAGATGCATCTGACATCCCAATGCAGTAGCTTTGACTATTTTAATGGAAATATGTTGGAACTGGGGAAACCTTCCACCAAGGAGATAGTGATGAAAGACCACAAGAGAGACATTTTATCTTTGAGATAAAAGGCCTGTTTCCTAAGGTTGTTTCTTGCAGTATAACTCCCCACCCCCCCCGCACCTGTTACAGGGGTACCGTGCAAATGTATCATTCCAGGAAGTGCTTCCTTATCCTCTTTGTACCTAAGATTTCCTGGAGGAAGGGGACGGAGGAGAACTGGACTTATATACAACTTGCTTAAATAAGATTTTTCACCTTTCTTTAAACATTAACACATGAGGATCAGGCGCCTAAATGGGTCTGTTTACCTCTTTGGTCCAAACATCATGCTACCTTCTGCCTAAAAGAAAGAAAAGCAAGATATTGTTTATCTGGCTGCACTTGTTCAGGGCAGTGTGCACAATTTAATCCTCTTTTAGCTATATCTAGATAAATGGCTGAGAGACTCCCTTAAGTAATGTTGATTAGGGTTGGGTAAATGGTAGTCATTTTCATTTAAAAAAAAATCCTTTCTCCTCAACATGAATACTTACATTTACAAGGACTCATTTATAACTGATGATGTTTTACCCATATCGAGTGTCAAGTCCTGGATTAGCAAAAAGGATGTTAACTGAAGGGAGAAATATCTGATAGACACTTGCCTTACCACATAGAAACAAGATAGTGGAATTGAAATATGTCCTTACTTTGCATTTCCTCTACACGGAAAAACAAAGACCCAGTGGAAACAAAATCAAGCTGGTATTCCTCTGGTTCCTCCCAGCAACAGCTTCAGAAAAAGAATTTGACTAAAGTTATTCTTTTCAGGTGCTTCTTCCAATGTTTTCATTTCTTTTTCAGTCCCACCAACCCTTCAGGCCTGGTGTGGCTGCAAGAACAGGAAGTATCCTGGAAGTGTAGATAACTGAGTTGATACAGGCCGAAAAAACCTGGTAAGTAAAAATTACTCCTTGGAGGATCACAGAATGGGCATCTTACTGGAAGATGGGAAATGAGGTGAAAAGCTCTGAGTATAGACAGCAGAAATAGTTTCTTTGGGAAAGAGATGGTAAATTGAAATCCCAGGACCTCCTGCTTCACCTCAGTGAGGCTGACCTGTGGCTCAGCTCAGCTATGCTGACCTAAACCTCCTCTATTAAAAGTCCTCAGAAAAGACTCTTGAAGGATAACAGCTTTACTTTTCCACTAAGCTTCCTTCTTCTATTTTATCCTCTCTATTCCCAAGAATGCTCTGAGATTGTATTTCTCTGACAAGTGGGTGATGTTGACCTGTAGTATAAAATAACTTGCCAAGTATTTTACATTCCCAAGCCCACGTGGAAACGTAGGTTTAGTCCCTGCAATGAGGAAATTTGCTTTCTTTCTGGAAATATCCAAAATGTACCATTTGAATGACCTCTGGGTCAGGGATCAGCAAACTTCTGTAAAGGACCAAATGGTAAATATTTTATGCTTTCTGGGCCATGCAGTTTCTGAGACAGCTACTCAACCCTGCTGCTACAGTGTGAAATCAGCCATAGGCAATATGTAAATGAACTCCTATGGCTATGTTACAATAAAACTTTACTACAAAAACAGGTAGTGAGTCATGTTAGTCTCCAGGTCATAGTTTGCTGACCCCTTTTCTAGGGTCAAACCTCAAGCAATCTTTGGTCTATGTTTGCTGAATAGACAATGAAACATAAAGGAGAAATGACCCAAAGAAAGTTAAAAGCCAATTCAAGTTTGTAAGACTTATCTCTTGGGCATCATAATAATTAAAAAGCAACTTTCTACCAAGATAATAGAAGCCACCACAAGGGCTTTTGAAAACCCCTGTCATACTCTACTCATTCCCCAAGATGAAACTTTTATGACTTACTGAGCAGATACCAAATAGAACTAAATGCTAAATGTATTTGGAGATCAACGTTTAATTTATAAAAATCTGCTGAAGAATATTAACACACTAGGAGTTCTAGTATATTGAAGATTCATTTGAACTCTTTGTTTGTTATGCCAATAACTTCTTAATATACCCAAAGGTGTGATTGTCTAGAAGAGATTATATATAAAGATGAGAAAGAATCTCATTTAAAAAAATTAGGGGTTAGCATATTTTAATACAAAAGCTGTTTTAGTTTTTCCACAATTCAGGTCAAACTGTCTCTCATGACCATGGACACATATTCTAGTTGGAGGTTGCCGAGAAAAAAAGTACGTTGAAGAATTTAGGATACATTTTTACTGATTTCTAAAGTCTGATCAAAATATTTCATTTAATCTATACTAAATTTCTTACATACTACCTTTTATGTTGTAGTCATTTTGCATAAATGAAAACCAGCATTTTAAATCATGTCAGTCCCCCTTAGGTACTTGATTTATGTTTTTAATTGCTATTATTATTTTTATTCTTTTTGTGATCTGGTTACCCTTAGGATTAAATTTTGCAAGTGGGATCACACTGGTCTTTATTATTGGTGTAAAATAAAACTCTAGTGCTGATCTCCAACTTTCATATAGTGATTAGAAGAAAATCAGAGGAAATAAGAGGAAACAGGTTCAGGGAGCTTTTTTTCCTTGTCACCTATAGGCTGTGTACTTGAGGTGACATATGCGAAGATATTTCTATCTGCTGTAAAAAAACCCTGTCTTTAGGTATTTAGTCACAAAGGACCACATAACTCTTAGTGTCTAATTGAATGGTATGGGATAGGTGCTTCTAGTAGCCAAGGAGAGTTTTTACTGGCTTGAAAAAAAAATATTCTGTGTGAACATGCAGATTCTGGCAGCATGATTTTACAGGATATTAGCAATACTGATTCAGACTATTCTGATGTGTTTGATGGTTTTCCTTTTCAGTTCATAGCTCTATAAACTAAACCTTGCCCTAAGATTGAGCAAGCCAATTCTTTTGCACAGGATATTGAGCGAGAGTGACTGGATCATTCTCACTGGGGTCTGAAAGTCAGCAATGTCACTGGTTAGGTTAGGACCATCTTCCCACCCTGGTCCTTTCTAGGTAACTAAGCAACACATAGCTTGCTTTTATATGCCATATGTGCAAACCTCACTCTGATGCTAACATACCATCTCAAAAATACCAAATCTCTTAATCATCTATTACAGACCTTCCCCCCCATGTATGAAGTAACAAAAATTAGAACCTTGTTGAGGAAAAAAACAAACAAACAAAAACAAACACCATTCAGGCCTACAAATACAACTTCATTAGGATTGTGGGGCCGCTGCTTACCAAATGGCATCGAGTACTGTCTAAGCCAGTTACATCTTCATTTTGGGCTCCTTAGAGTCCCATATGTCAACCATTTGGTTTGTCTACCAGCGTTTAAGATACCCAGTCATAACTAAGCATTCCCCTCCGAAGTACCCAAAATAAACTACAGGTAACAAGATAAATAGGATGTGCTTCTCCTTGCTGAGTGCATTGACTTAAGGCATAGGCACATTTCCCCCTCTTTGAACAGAGATGGTGTAATCCCCTGTCCCAGCACAAGAGCTGGCCAGGGTGACCCTGGAGCATGATGATGAAGGTGGAGTGATGAGAGTAGCTGATGGCAGGAATTAGAGGATTGCTTTCACATATGGGGTTAGGGGAGTACAGCTGGGCCCTCGGGTACACAGTGATTCTAAAATGACTCTTGACTTAGTTTATATTAACTTTCTGTGCACAATTTTTATGGCATGTAGTATTTTAGCTCTGTGATTCTTGGATAAAACATTGCAGTGGATTTACAGATATAAAAAGTCTAGGTATAAAAAATATTTATAAGAAGATCAGATCCAGAGAGTTTATGTATACTTTTAAAAATAAAGGCATGTCTCTAAATTACCTATCAATAGCAAGGAACATATAGAAAATAAGTAGGTTCCTATGCTACTATTGTTTAGATTTTATCTCAAAATGGCTTCTTTTAGAGTAGGAGTTCCACTCTTAAAGATTTTGAATGACCTGATGTTTTGGGTGGAAGTCTTTCAGATAAAGTCAGAAGTGACTTATAACAGCTTTTGAGACATTTTTCCTTTGAACAGAGACATAGCGCCTATTTATTCTTTGCCTGTCAGGCTACTGAGTAGCTTCCAGCTGACTGAGGAACAGCTGTTATCCCATTTTGTGCCGATTTACAGCTCCTATTTTGACTGCAGGAGGATACGTGACTTTGAAGGAAGTAAGATAGTAGAAAGAGGGTGAGCAGTTCAATATTTGCTAAAATCCATCCTCCTCATGCAAAGCCCCTGTGCAAAGGTAGGGCAGCCATTTTGAGTTTCTATGGCTGACTTCTATGGTGTTGCTCTATTCCCAAATTGAAGTTGGTCAGCCTTACTAAAGCTGAAAAAGTAAACCAAAGGTCTAATTTCAATACAAGGTTCTTAGCATTTGAGCATGGTTTGGAGATTCCCGCCATCACTGCCTCATAATGACATTAAAGGAGAAGATACACTGTTACTCAAATATGTAGATGAGTATTTTCTAAGAGTCCAATATGCTGTATGAATCGCAAGGGCTTGGGGAATGTTGGTGTGGAATTAGTGTTTAGTTTTGTCATGTCGGTGGTGGAGATGGGATGGAAAATGATAGTGGATATCACAGGGTCACCCATGGTTCCTTTTGTACTGAAACCTCATTTTATTAAGAGGATATATATATATTTATTTATATATATTTATATATATTTATATCCACCCATACACACAAACACACTTACACACCCACCCACGCGTACACACATACACACACACACAAAAGGTCTTTGATAGGCTTTCCGTGTTCTAGTAAAAATAGCTGGCAGCCAGTGTCTAAAGCCAAAAAGGCTTTTATGCTACCAACAAAGTCCACTATGGATAGTCTTTCAAAGGCAGACACTTGTGTTTATCTGACAAGTGGAACCAGTTCCTGCCTGTGACAGGAATAATCTTCCATTGGCGCAGACGCAGATCTCGAAGACCTTCTGCCTCGTTCCTGTAGGCGTGTAGGATCCATGAGGCAATCTAGGTAGTTTGATTTTCGCAGCATCTAACTTAATCTAAAGAGAGTGGATAGGAAGGAAAGAATCAGTCAGAGGCTCTTGTCCATTCTCTTGACATTTAGAAACAGAAGATGAATATTCAACTCAACTTAAATCTCATGAGCATCTACTGTGTGAGTGTTCTTGGGACCAGAGATCTAGAAATGAACAGGCCAGACAGTCCATAGTTCCTGCCCTTACAGAAGCTTATATCCTAACAAAATTATGCTGCATTGAGCTACATCAACATTTTGCAGAAATATATTGTGTAGAATCCTAGAACCAGACAATGATAGAAATGCTACATTTAACAATTTTCTTTATGTCGAGAATTCTCAGATCCTACCTGCATATGTCTGTGTACAAGATGAATCTTTAAGAAGAGAACAGAGTATGCAGTGCTTTTCAAGTTCTACATGACTAGTGAGCTTTTATTTTTTCTTTTGCTAACAACTTACAGAGCTAATGTTCTATAGAATATATTTTGAGAAATACATGCCTATAAAAATAAGCAGTGATAGAAGATGCCATTAGATTTATGATTACAACTGATTCTTGCAGAGTTCAAATTCTGATAGCTATAAACTGCATATGTGAGGTAGTCACTATTTTTATATGAGTGTGGTTGGCAGTTTGTGACTGTTCAAAGAGGCACTTGCGATAATCTAATGCTCTATTTTACGTACTCTTTCAAAACAAAATAGCAAATGCCAAACCAATCAAAAGGTGGGCTTTTACATCTACAGAGTAGATATATAGAGGCATGTGGAGACTGATAACCTCTAAGTGGATAGAAAGGTGAATTAGTTTTTCTTTAAAACAACAACAAATCCAAGTTGTCTTCTCTCATTTTTATTCGTAAATGCAAAATTTCCCTTATGAACACATTGAAGGCATTAAAGAAAAAGTCAAATCATATTGAGGGGGGGTACTTTTTAGCTTATTTGAAAAAAACATGAGTTCCACTTTTGTTCACTGATTGTATTGGGATAAGGAAATTAGTATTTGCAGTTCTTCATCCTCCTGTTGTTTACTTAGTGTTACCCTGTTGAGTTTTGGCTTATTGGCCCAGTTTCTGTGGTGCACCAGTAACAGAAGTGTCCTGCAAGGTTGGAAGCCTTATGTTGATGTAGGCTTAGATTTGAACTGTGTGGTTGACCTTGTGAGATTCAGCTATTTTAATCAGCAGGCCATGGGCTGGCCTTCTTTACCATTTAAAAAAATTGTTTTTTAAGTTTTGACTTTCTCCAGATTGGGATAGCTGTTGGATCTGACTCTCCATTCTCAATGCGAACAGAAACATACAATGTTAAAATAATACAAAAATAACAAGTCAGTTATGTTCCTGTTTAGGCAGATGTATGTGAAATATGGCTTAATGATTCTGGCTAATACGTACAAGAGACAATTTGGAAATAGCATTCATTTTTATAGTCATGCAATTCTATACTTGCAATACCTGCCATTCTCTCAGCACTTTACGAATATCAAATCAGCTTTTACGGAATCTGGGTTTGGCTTGCACTTGTGATGTTTAATTATTTTTTCTAGAAAAGAAAACCTTAGGATTGGCTCCTTTGGTTGATGCAGAGTAGGATCAACCTCTATGGCAAACCAGCTTTGGGAAAGGTTGGTTTGCGGCGCCGTATCTGTTTGGACTTCTTTGCACCCCTTACCTCTCCGTCTTTGGACTCCAATCTCAGCTCTGTTCTGCAGGTAGCTTCCATATTGCCTGCTTCTGCATTGATTTCTACTCCTTTTGGGGCCTCCATCACCAGAGAACGGGTTGGGGACTCCAATCTGAAATATATACAAGATCATGATTAAAGATACCATTTTCTTTTTAGTAAAATTAAAAGGAAATTGCTGCTCACAGCATTGAAACAGCATTTAATGATAAGACTGGAAAATCTTTCTTATTTTTGTTTCATAAACCTGGTCTTGAGAGAACAAAATAGGTTTAGGCTTTATTTTCACTGCATTTCATAAAGGTCATAAAGAGGGTGTTCTAGGGTCTTGATTTCAATTTATCCATTCCCCACTGAATTATTGCTTCATTGGTGTAATTAAGTCATACTCTTATATAAACTCTCCCACCCCCATTTTTTTTCTTTCTTTCTGTTTCTGTTTTAGAGTAACGTAGCTCCAGGTCTAAACATCTTCCTGAAATTGGTAGGTGTTTCTTCCATATTGTCCTACTTTCTGTATTTTCCATAAATTTAGATTCAGATAGAAGCTATGAAAATATAATAGATCTAGGAGTCAGATGTGGTTGGAATCAAGCCATAGGCAAGTCTTTCTTTCTTTTCTTGCTCTTTCCTTTTCTTTATAAAGTTTCTCAAAGCCTTAGTTTATTCACCTATAAAGGACTTCAAATAGTACCTGACACATTAGAAATGCAAATACATATTAAATATCTACTACTGCTGTTACTATTGTTGTTTATCATTAAATCATACAGTGAGTTGTGATCAGTGGTTGCTGAGGATGGGGTGAGAGAGCTGGTTTAAGGGCCAAGGGACAGCATAAAATGGGAATGTTTGGGGGACAGCACTTCTGTATCTTCACTGCAATGGTACCTACATGCCTCTGTACTTGTGAGAGCTCACAAGAAATTTTATTGTATATAATCTATAAAATAGAAAAATGGCCATGCTCTATTATGATGGCAACACAGAATGAATATTACTTGGAAACTTTTTTGCCCAAGTGGCTCAATGAGAAAAAAACATGCTTAACTAAAATTCAACCATCCTCTAAGTATTTTAATAGTATGACCTGGTAGGAATGCATAAAGATCCTCTTCTCTGTTATAGAGAAATATCTCAACTTAGGAAGAAGGGCCCTTAACAGTGAGTTTCAAACTGCCCTGGTTGGTATCAATTTTCTGAGTTTTCTATGTTTCAAACTTTTGGACACCTTGAACATTTAAAATAGAACATCATCCTCTCTGCCCACTGCAGACACCCAGTAGTGTTTGCAACATGCCTCTGGGTAGGGCAAACCCTCTTGGGCCTACTCAGGGGCAGAAGAGCAAGCTGATGAGTGGAATGCCCGCACCAAGCTGCCTTCAGCCACAACACACAGATGGTGAGTGCTTCCCCACACTTTTCAGGTCTGGGTCCTCCAAAGCAGCAGCTTCCTCCATTGATGGTTTTCCCCTACAATGACTCAAATTGAGTCTGAAAGAGAAGAAAATAGGGCCCATGATGCCTACAAAAGGGTTGGATTGAGTTTCTCTTCAACTCATTCCTTCTTTTCTGACCTCCTCCCTTTGTGTGTGGCAAAAATGCCCCTATCCCTACCTTCTTCTCGTCATAAGACCTTCACCAGGATTGTGCTGATCCAGGCATGGCTCTGCCTTTTATTATGGCTTACTTCATTTGCATATGGTTTCTCTCACCATAATGTCAGTGCAGAAAGGAGGGAGCCTTGTTACCAGGGCAACAGAGAGCGACATCCCTGTGCTGCATCCTTGCCAAGGATCTTAATCCAACTCAGTTGAGATCCTCTGCCCTCTTGACCCCTCTCACTTTTGAAATATGAAGATGTCTTTGTGTCATTTTCTCTTTACCTGGTTCTCTCCTATACAATGTAGTTGACTCACACAGTTTATCACACGTTTTCTAGCTTATTTCCACTAACATTGATCTCTTCCTCCTTATGGCATGAGTTTTTGATTTTATAATATACCTGCTCAACTCTTATCAAAAACTCTGCCAGCCTCCACATTCCCCAGGTGAGTCTCATGTCATCTTTTCTCTTGCTCTCTTTCTTTTATTTTCTCAGTTACCTTAGCTTTTAACTCAACATCTCCCTTCTCAGTATGCCAGGGCATCTCTAACCTGGGCCATTGTAACTGCCTCTCAAGCTTTGTTTCTAATATTTCCTTTTTCACAATATGCTTCACACAAAAATAAGTCTTCCCAAAGTAAGTTTTGAACAGACATGTCATCTGTCTTATTAAAACCTTCACCAGTTCCTTGGAAAAAATCTGAATGCCTGCATTCATTCGGCCATTTACAATTTGGTCTGAACCTCTTTTATTGATCTTATTTCTTACTGTAAACATAAGCTGTTTTATGGAGGACCTACTAGGTAATGATACTGTGCAAAGGACTTTCATTTAATCCCAAAACCCCTGCCAGTCTGGTGTTTTTGTAGTCCTGATTGAACAAATGAAAAAACTAAAGGTAAGAGACTTGCTTGGGTTATACTTCTAGTAAAATGGCAGATCCAAGATTTGAACCTAATTTAGTAGACACCAAAGCCAGTATGTTGTTTATTGTACCATATCACTTCCAGAAACACTGTACTTTTTCTCTGATCGATTATATTTTCACTCTGTTCTCTGTAATTAAATGCCATCTCTTTTTTTCTCTGGAATTAGTGTTTTTATTTTCAAAATTAGTCTATGTAAATAAGAGTAAGGTGATATGTCTGAATGATGCAAATTTCATAGAACACAGTATTTTTCATAATTGACTTGAACAGCCTACATCAGTAATTCCCAATTCAAGACATGTTGAGCATACCTGGCACATAACATTCAAAATGAATGTTGGAGGGAAAAGAAATAGCTTGAAATGGAAAAACAAAGTATGGAGCTGGAAAATGATCAGATGTAGCGCTGACATTTCAGACAGGCATCAGAACCCACTTTACACTTGTCCACTGCCTACCGACTCTAAGGTCAAGAGGAGGGCTCTATAGCCAGAGAAGTGGACTTGGAAATGACTTCTGCCTTCCCCCTCCCCTTAGCAATGGAAGAACCAGTAGCTGAGAAAGGAAACTGCGTGAGTTTTAAGCCACCAGGTCTAGGACGCGAACCGTGGTCGACTACGTGGGAGTCCAGCGACATAGCCATTACGCTAACTGCTGGTTCCCTTCCCAGCTCATCTTAATGTTCTTTGATGTTCAGGGGACTAAATACCATTTGTTCACAGGCTACTCTTTTCTCTGAGAAAAAGCTCCTGGAAGAGCCCTGTGGGAACTTCAGAGAGCAGACAAAACACTCCTGAAGTGATGTCCTTCAATTTCTGACCATAGATTAGAAACCACAACACAATTGCCTAGATGGCATGGAGCAAGGAGAACTGGAAGAAGGTTTCCCCCAACAGGTGGTAATGAGGACCTTATCGACTTTTAGAAACAAACGCTATTATCAATTGGGATGAATAGCCTCAGTGAAGAAAGAAGGAAAGCCCCAGAAGGGAGGTCCAGGGGTTCAGCCATGTTTTTTAGAATTGTCCTCACATGCAAGCATTAGAATCTCCCCTGGGAGCTGGTGAAAGCAAGGAGAGGAGTGTCTAATTCAGCAAGTGTAGGGTGGGTCAAATATTTGCATTTGTAGTAAGTTGCCAGGAGATGGTCATGCTGTTAGTTCAGGGACCACACTTTGAGAAGCATTGCTCTAGTGAAAGGGTTATAAACTCAGGTGCCCACAAAGACCAAATACAAAATGTCAATAAGTGACCTGTAAAAAAGTCATAAGTAAAGCAGTCCCAGCACAATGATCTATGGCAAGAGACAATGGCCTAAATGTGAAGGTAATGGACATGCTGACTTCAGGGGGCAGCTGCTATTCTAATCTGGTCCATTATTGCCTGGGATTCTGATGTCTTTTTAATTTTTATTTACTTATTTTTTAGAGGTTTTTGCTATAGGATGCATGCTCTCGCCAGACAGACGGAGAGAGACAGAGAGACAGAAAGCGAGAAATCACCCCCTCTCCCCCCGGGGGAATGGCCATGCTGTAATCCCTTCTCCTCTCGGGATCTTGGGCATGCATGCACATGTGCCCGGCTTGAGTTTAAGCCATTGGGTCCAGGAGAACTGCGGTTGACTACATGGGAGTCCAGCGACATAGCCATCATGTCAACTGCTTGTCCCAGTGATGTCTTTTTCTTAAAGAATTTTAAATTTAACTCTGAATCACTATATTTCAGAAATACCTATAAAAGAATATTTATAAAAATATATAGTATAAATGATGATGATACAATGGACTTAAATAAAAAAACCCTATCATTACAGCTTGCAAAATGACTTTTTCTAGCATAAGTACACTGTATACTAGTTCAGTTAAAGATACCATCATACAAGTTATCATCAACAAATAATTTTCTATTTTTTGTGTCCCTTAAATGTTTTGCTTCTTTTCCCTTGTCTCCCTTCCTCTCACCCTTTCCCATTTTCCACACTGCTTCCACACTGTCTGGTATTCAGAATTGTTCTCTATGCTTTTAAATCTTCCAATCTTTCAGTTTGTGCCATAGAATGCAGACATTTGGTATATATTAAGTGGGGACATACAATGTTTCTCTTTCATAGACTGGCTTACTTCACTTAGCTTTCCATGCTCATTCACTTTCTATCAAATGCCAGGGTCTCTTTTTTTTTTTTTTTTTTTTTTTTAAGGACTGAGTAGTAGTCCAAAGTGAATAGTAGTATTCCATAGTACTGTACTCAATATCCTTTTTAAGAAAAAGATTCTTTCCTTTAAAGTATCCTCAGCTCTTCGTCCTTGTCTCATTCATTTCTTTCCTTCCCCAGGAGTACCTACTAATAAAAATTTTGTATTTATTCTTTTCTTTTGTGTCTTTGCGACATTACTACGCTTGCCTTTTTAATGTATTGTTTACTATTGCATGTTTTTTAATTCTACATGCAGAATAATTTTACTTAGGTATTTTCTTAGTGATTCCTTTCCCACTTAATGGATTTCTCAAAACTCATGAATTAATTAAAGCGAGTACATATCTAGCTTGGTGTATGTGTTATCTTATACCAAGATTTAT